GAAAGTGTTAGACACCTAAGAATGGGATTCATAAAAGCCAGCAAGCTGAGCAGAGAATAATCTAAGTGAGCCAGTAGGAAATGGTGAGGAGAGTCAAAAGTTGCTGAGTGTCTAACTCTGCTCAAGATTCCCAGCTGTGAACCCTCCCCTGTGTTTAGGCACCTAACCCAAATCCACTGTTCCATGTTGTATAAATAATTAAATACTAGAGAAAGTGAGACTGCCCTAACTGCTGGCTATAGAGTCATTCACCTAGAATGTGGGAGACCTAAGTTCAGGTCCCTGTTCCGATGAATATTAATTATTTATACAAAGTGCAACAGGTTCAACAGGACAGATTGAGAGAGACCCACCACAGAATACCCTATAACTAGGTTTGGTGGGATTAGATTTTTATCTAAATGTTGATATCATTGCACATATACAAACTGATGGAAAAATATTTCCATAGATGATGATGATCAAAATTTACAAATAGCAAAGAAAGAAAAATGCTATTTGAGAATTTATTAAAGTTTGAATTAAGGATACTTACTTTGTATATTTTGACCTGTGATGTTGAAAATGTGTTTCAATGATTATAAAGTTTTAACTTTTTGAATCTCAACATCTGCTGTCATTAAATAATATTGTCTGACCCTCCATAATTCTGTGCAACTAAGAAAATTTTAATGGATATATAAAAATGGGGGGGGGAGACTTAAAAGCAGATATCTGTCAACATTATTTTTAAAATTAAAAAATGAAACTCTGCCAGGCTTACCTATAACCCAGTTGTTTAGGGACTTTCCTGAGAGGTAGAAGACCGACAAAAATGGATTTGAACCCCACATCCTCGGTGAGTACTCTAACCACTGGGATTAAAGTTTTTTGGTGGTTCGGGTTCTGTAGTTTCCGTGTTGGAGTGTTGCTTTTTTAAGACTTCTGAAACCGTGCTCCACACCTTGTCCCTCTCAGATTTTGGAAGGCACTTCAGATTCTTAAACCTTGGGTCAAGTGCTATAGCTATCTTTAGAAATCTCACATTGGTACCTTCTTTGCGTATTGTCAAATCTGCAGTGAAAGAACGCATGCGGAGTCATCATCCGAGACCGCTATAACATGAAATATATGGCAGAATGTGGATAAAAAGAGCAGGGGACATACAATTCTCCCCCAAGGAGTTCAGTCACCAATTTAATTAACACATTTTTTTAAAGAGCATCATCAGCATGGATGCATGCCCTCTGGAATGGTGGCCGAAGCATGAAGGGGCATACAAATGTTTAGCATATTTGGCACGTAAATACCTTGCAGTGCCAGCTACAAAAGAGCCGTGCAAATGCCTGTTCTCACTTTCATGTGACATTGTAAATAAGAAAAGGGCAGCATTATCTCCTTTAAATGTAAACAAACTTGTTTGTCTTAGCAGTTGGCTGAACAAGAAGTAGGACTGAGTGTCTTGTAGGCGTTGAAGTTTTACATTGTTTTGGTTTTGAGTGCAGTTATGTAACAAAAAAAAAATCTACATTTGTAAATTGCACTTTCACGATAGAGATTACACTACAGTACTTGTATGAGGTGAATTGAAAAATACTGTTTGTTTTGTTTATCATTTTTACAATGCAAATATTTGTAATAAAAATAATATACACTTGGATTTCGATTACAACACAATACAATATATATGAAAATAAATTTCAATTGTATTCTGTTGTTTGACAGTGAGATTAAAACTGTGATTAATCGCGATTGTTTTTGAGTTAATCACGTGAGTTAACTGCGATTAATCGGCAACCCTAATAATTATATATATTTGCACACTAGGTTTTGAGAAGTTGTTAATTCTGCATTGAATTAATGAATTTTCAATATGCACTTCATTTTTTTTCAAACGCGTAAGTTATATAGAAGTAAAAATGAATAGTTTCTGAAATCTGAGTATTGTATTCACGAATGTGCTCTGAAAATTCAGCCACCATCTTACTGCACCTCTGTGTTGAGTGTGTGTTTGTGTGTGTAAAATGTCTAGGGATCATATTTTTCCACTGCCAAAACTTCCTAGGTCACTTTTGTACAATTATACATTCTCTTTCTTCCAGACATATTACTGTGTCTGCGTTGACCTGAAACAAGAAGGGATGACGAATCACAATTCATTCCTCTTGAAAAACAGAATAAATTGTTAAAGCCTGTTTTTCAGGCATTTTTTCACTGTGTGAACAGCTGTCTGATTGAAGAATCTGTTGCATAGGCCTGAGGTCATCACACTGATAGAACAGGAGGTTAGCAAGTGGTTTGTAAACTTATTTGAAAAGAGAGGGTAATAAATGGTTCCTTTACTACTTACTCTTCTCCTGCTGTGATCCTTTAACCTTGGAGGACTGGTTGCATCTCATACTGTAATTCATCACTTTTTTTTCTGGTGGAATTTAAATTAGGTTAAGATTCAGAAATAAAATAATGTTTATCAAACAAAATAAGTGAAGACTTCCCCCCCTCCCCCACAAACATGAAACTTGATAATTCTATTTAGTTGTGTTCACAATAAGTGAATATTAAAATGGAAACCACAATAAACCCAGATACACTTCATACTGTGTCTTGAAAAGATCACTTGCATTTTTCTTTTTGTTTTTTTTATGTAGCTTGGAATTAGAATGGGGTTTTTTATCACTTAAAAATTGGAGCCATCACTATCAATTAATTTCAAATATGGCACATTACTTTGAAATGTAAAACTAACTTCACACAGAGAACTACATGAAAAGAAAATTCTTTTTGATAGAAAAAGATCCAGTGGAAGAAAATTCATCCAATGAAACATACCTAAATAACTGACAGGGGAGAGGCAGTATTCTGGGACAGAGGCAGTAGAATATGGGTAGCTGTCTTCTTTCTCCAGGGGTTTGGCATCCCTTAAAGCAATAATTTTCATCTTCTGGCTACTTTCATTTTCTTTTCTGTAAATTGATAGCTGTTTAATGCTTCCAACATATTCAAACTTACTTTATTTGGAAGTAACATTTGGGCAACTAAATGCTTCTGAAAGGGCAGCTGAGTTTTTGGAGGATAGGAAGGGTTAGAAAAGTTGTTCCACATAGTCCCTGGGAATCTGAAAAAAGGTAGGGGAGAATTAAAAGTTAATTTAATGTTAAATACACTGAAAGTATGAGAGAAAAGGGTGTATACTGTATAATCTTGTACTACTTGCTTTTCCTTAGGAGTATTTTTGGTAGTGCAATGCACTATCACACATTGAAATCTGGTGGAACATGCTAACACACTGCAGGAACTGATTCTTCTTTCACAGCCTATCTTTTTACTCTTTTTCTCATCCCTCTCCTCCCGCAGCCATACCTTCCCAAGAGGAAAACCACTTCAGTACTGCCAAGGGAGAATCTTCACATCTGAAAAGAGGACAGTATTTCCCCATTAGTAGGCAGGAGTTTGCTATACTTTAATTTGACCACATGGCAACTAATCATTACATTTTAGTTAAAATGTTTAAAAGTTGAATGTATTTAGTAAAACAAATTAAAGGGTCTACCTTTTTAAAACTGGACTTATAATAGTAATATGACTTATTTACCTAGGGGATGTACCAAAAGAGCAAACCTACAAAAATATGTAAACATCTAATTGATCTCAGTACTTACATGTTCCTATCCCATCACGGTGATATCTCAGCATCCTATTCAGAATTTAAGCAGTTTAGGCACTTCAGTGCTTAAGTTCTGTTGATAATCAGTGGATCTGAAGCTCCTACATCATTCAGGTGCTTTGGAAATTTTTACCCTTTGTCTTTCTGATGTAGAATGGACGTGCTGAATAAATAGTTACATTCTAGTAATTATGAAGTATAGTTTGTATACTATTGACTGTAAACAAATGCACATAAATGCAAAGTTAAACTGTATTTTAAAGTGTAGTATACATTTTTTTTTTTTAATAATGCTACTCAGTATGAGAAAAATGTTAAATACATTTAAATCAGGTTGCCTTAGATACTTTTAGAGTATTTATTATGTACAGTATGCTTAGGCTTGAATCCTACAGTTGGGTCCACTAATGTGGACCCTTGCCCACTCAGGAATCATTGTTGCGAATTCAGTTGCACAACCTTGGGATCTTTGCCGCTTGAGTAGGAATGAAAAAACTACAATTTCATTATCCCAAGGAAATGCACCACCAAAATGACTATAGCACAACTGGGTTAAATTATTTTCAGTCTTGACAGCATGAAATACAAATATAGAATCATGGTTCTTTATAAAACCAAACTTTTTGTAAAGTATATAACACTGACAACTTTGAAGGCTCAAGTATGTTTTTTTTCTTATTTGAGACTTTTCACCATCATCACTCACTAGTAGTTTGTGATAAATAGTACTTAACATTAGTTGGTACGCAATGTTCGTGAAAAGAACAGGAGTACTTGTGGCACCTTAGAGACTAACAAATTTATTAGAGCATAAGCTTTCGTGGGCTACAACCCACTTCTTCGGATGCATATTGAGTGAAACATATCGAGGAGATATATATACACACATACAGAGAACATGAACAGGTGGGAGTTGTCTTACCAACTCTGAGAGGCCAATTAAGTAAGAGAAAAAAAACTTTTGAAGTGATAATGTTCGTGAACATTCTAAACTTTGAACAGAAAAACCTCCTAGTTTGTAAGCTAAAATTCTCCTAAGGCTTTTTCTCCTGTGCTTTTCATAAAATTGTAGTTTACTGATGTTGCCAGAAAACTAGCACTGCTTAGTCAAGATGAACATCACTAATTGATCAGATTGCCTTTATTAAGAATACCTTTATTTAATAAAAACCTTAGTCTACCTGAGTATATTCTCTATTAAAAGTAACGGTCTAAAATACTTTCCTCAGATAGTTTTAAAAATGGTAGTGTACTTTTAAAAGGTTGTCACTTTGACATGAATGACTATTACAGTAACTGGTGTGTTGCCCAATATATTTAGAATATTGATTTTTTGTTTGTTTAATAATTCTTACAGGTGCATTCTGCTTCCTCTTTTGGGGATGAAGCCCCCCGAGCAGAGCCTCTTTCTGCTTGTAGATTCGATTGATGAGGGTTGTAATGTTGCAGAAGGTGAACAGACTTCTACAGGCATATCTGGAACTATTGCAGAGCTTTTAGCTGATCACTACGAGTTCTTCCCTCCATGGTTGCTCCTCCTCTGCTCTGCTCGCAAGCAGAGTAAAACTGTTACAAAAATGTTTACAGGTGAGTACAAGCAATTGTGAATTGTTAGCTACCTATGTGCTGTAACAAACATAATTTTACAGGAACCTTACTGATGACTGAAAGTGCAAAGTATACATTTTAATTGCTCTAAATTTGTTGCCAAAGAGTTAAAAACCTTGACAATCCTAAACACACATTCCTATTTTTGGGTTTTCTATAGTGCTGATCAGTAGGTAATATATAGTAAATGGTAAATTAGATCTGCCAGGTAAGGTTGGCACGGAGCTTTCTTTCTTTTTCTGGTCTTAAAAAGCTATGTCATGATTTTGCAAGTGTGTAGGTGACATGTATAGTATATGTTCCCCCCCCCCCATATACCTTCCCCTACACACACAGACTTCAAGAGTCTCAGAGATTTTTTTTCATCTAACATCAAGATGTCATCTTATTTGAGAAAGCAGGAGCTAAACTGTGCATGGGTTTAACTGAATGCAGAATTAGGTCTTGGGAGTGTATTTCTTGGCAAAGGTTATACAGTAAAGAATCTCCTACAACTTGTTCATCCAGTCCTTGCTGTGTCATAAGACCATTTCATCAGTGTGATGCTATTGTTACTGGGAGTTTCTTGAAGCTTAATAAAGGGAAGCACCAAGACTGCGTTCCAGGCCTGCGTATAAAGCCTGTGTGTGTGTTTAAGGCAACAATTGGAATGAAAATGTGATTATGGAATATAGCCCCAAATCTTTGATAGGCTTACTAGTTTTCACAGTGGCCAAAGGACAATGTGATAACTGCATTTTGAAATCAAGTACTGTATTAATCAGTGGCAGACATGAAAATGGTATTTGGGAGAATATGAGAACTAAAATTAAGAGAGGCTTTGGGTGGCTTCTTAGAGTATCTTTGGGTGTATGCATGGGAATAGTTTTTCAAACCTTGGCTGCTTAGATATTTAGCCATTGTCAAAAAAGCAGAGAAAAACTACCTTCAGAGCAATTTTATTTCCATTCTTTTGAATCACATCATGTTGCAAATTAGTCCTGAAAAATTGCTGTTCTGTTGTCTTCGAAGTATATTTCCAGATGGAGTTCCTGACAAGAAAAATCAGCAGAACTAATGTATAAGCTTTGAAATAAATTTCATTTGAATGAATTAGCTTCTCATTTCCTCAGAGGGTGGTTTGATGAATAACATAATAAGGAAGTTAGCTTGAAATGTTGCAACTCTGTGTGAACCATTAAAATCTTCTCTTCTCTGGCATCTCTGGCTATTACATATAGCCAGAAAGAATGATACCCAACATAATTGGACACAACTTGAAATGAATTTGAGTATATTTGGAGAAGGTTGCATCTCCACCAGAGTAGAATATTATAACTCTTGGTAAATTGTCGCGGAGCTGCACTCCAGTGGACTTTCCACCCATAGGTTTGAGGATGCAAATAGTGTGGAGGCTATTCCAGACCATGGGTGTAAAACAGAG